TGCACTCCGGGTGTCTCCGTCTCATTGGCCCTGCAACACCCAGGACTTGGGATGCTGTCCCAGATGAATATTTCAGACTTGGGTTCCTCGTCTTAGCAGGGGAACCACTAAGCTGGGCCAGAAGCGAAGGCAGTGGTGGCTACGGTGGGCGCAGAGGAGCAGTTGCTCCCCTGGCGTCTTTCCTGGAGGATTTCGTACTTTTCACACCATGACGCACTCTCCAAGTCTGTGCTGCCAGCAGTGGTGGGCTTGAGTGGTGGCGTGGTCCTGTTTCTGGGTTTCACTGTGTGCTCTTGCCTTCAGGCTGTGTTCCTCTGGCTGGTCTCTCTACCACTCTGCCACGTAAGCAGTGACAGGTGGCGGTGTCAGCGGTCACCTCGTGTTCTTGTCTGCAGTGCGCTGTACTGATTGGCTTTCCCACTGCTGGACGGCATCCTTGATGCCCAGGATGGAGGAGGGTTTACGTGGCTCACAGTTAGCAGGGGGTTCGTCTGTGATGGCTGGCTACAAGGCAGAAATATGGGGGAAGGACCTGGTCAAGGAAAGCTGCTCAGCTCACGGCATCCCGGTAGAGGGGGGGAGAGGAGCAAGGGCTGGCAGCTCACCATTCCAGTCTGGTTCCCAGGGACCCACCTGCCAACGGCCCAGTCGGCTAGAGAATGAGAGGCTAGTGCACTGACCAGCTCAGCACCCAGTCATCCAGCCCTCTTCCAACAGCCCCACTTCTGGACGTGACACTCTGGGGAACAGTTTAGATCTGGACCATGATAGCTGCCACTATGAATCTTCTGATTTTGTTTTTTAAATTCTGTTTTCTTTTGATTTCATCACAGATAGAAGCAGCAAACACGTTTCGCCCTGTCTTGTGGCAGTGGGCAGGTCTGGGGCTGGTCCTCATGCTCTGCACCGTCCCCAGCTCCCACCCAGGCCCAGGCTCCCAGAGAGCTGCTTCTGGTTGGCTGCGTGGCCTGCCTTCTCCCTTCCTTCTTTCTCAGGCTGTTCTTCCCCTTGGGGAGTGGATGTGGTGGAAACTGGCCTCAGCTTTTCTTTTCAGTAGCTCTCTCCACTTTTGGGCTGCCACACCCGGGGAACACGTGTCCGCCTTCTGCGTGCTTCCAGCGTGAGCTGTTCCGCTCCTTCATCAAAGCCTGATCAACACCATGTGAGAGGCGGTAGGCGGAGTAAACTTTAACCAGAGGTTTTTCCCTTTGGAGGAAACGTGAGAGAAGGGCAGTGTGCACAGCTGTCTTTCACCTGGTCACCCCACCTGCCACCTCACCCAGGAGGAGGAATTTCATTTATGCCAGTTTTCTAACAGACACCAAGGCGACAGCAGCCTTGCACACATAGTATTAACTGCTCACCCGTCTTACCCTGTTTCCTAATTAATAGTTTAAAGCAGCAAAGCCAGTGGAGGGTGAGAATGTGAGTGATTCTAATGATGGCAAACGCCTAGCTTTTGTGTACCCTGTACCAGGCACCGTTCTGAGCTTTACATTAGCGTGTAATTATCGCAGCAGCGTGCAGCGCAGGCGCTGCTACTGCCTCAGCCAAGGCGAGGAGAATTCATTCAGCAGAGAGTGATGGCTTCATGGCTATCGTCTGGCCAGGATTCAGGGACTGTGTGGCCACGAGCACCCTGTGTCTCGGGCCGTCGTTAGTACCGTCTAGAGCCCTGCTCTTCCCAGGGAGAGAGCAGTGTCACTGCTTGCTGGCATTGTTGTCATGAGAACACTAGGTCATTTTATATATCGTTAAGGTGACGTCTTACAGAAACATTCCTTGACAAAATCCAACATCCATTCATGGTAAGTGCAGGAAGAAAATGGTTATGGAAAGACCTTACCTCAGTCTTTTTTCTTTTTATGTATTTAGTACAGGGTCTCTAGGGTCTCACTACGGATCCGACTCGTAGTGATCCTTCCTGTTTTTCAGCCTCCCAAGTGCTGGGATTACAGGTGTATGCCACACACCCAGGACCTTGTGCTTGCCAGGGAAGCACTTATTCTACTGAGCCATCTCCATACTCATTCAGTGTCTCAGTGTGCCCCAGGGGTGGGGCTGGCACAGCAGGCCAGGGATCGAACCCCCAGCTCCTGTGTCTGCCTAAGCAGGCACTTCAATCCACTGAGCTATCTGACTGGCCCTTCCTTAATCTGATAAAAGCAATTTATGAGAACTCTCAACATCATATTAAATAAAGAAGAACTGAAAGTTTTCCCTCTAAAATCAGGAGGAACAAGACCAGGACATCCAATACCACCACTTCTGTTCAACATTATACTTGAGATAGTAACAAGAAGAATTAGGCAATAAAAGGATACCATTGGGAAGGAAGAGATCAAGTTGCCATTATTTGCAAACAACATGACCCTCCACATAGAAGACCCAAAAGAGTCCTACAATTAATAACCAAATGCAGTAATGTAGCAAGCTACAAAATCAACACACAAAAATCAGTAGCATTCCTGTACATTAATAATGAACTCACTGAAAAACAGGGAAAAATACCCTTCACATTAGCACCAAGAAAAATCCAATACTTAGGAATTAACCTAACCAAGGAAGTGAAAGAACTTTACAATGAAGCCTACAGTACGTGGAAAAGGCGATCAAAGAAGACATCAAAAAATGTGAAGATCTCCCCTGTTCCTGAGTAGGCAGAACCAGTGTAATCCGGGGGCCACACTTGCAAAGCTCACGAGTGGACTTGGCACTATCCCATTCACAATGTCAGCAACATCCTCATAGAACTAGAGAAAAAAGTCCTAAAATTTGTACAGAACCGAAAGGGACCCAGAATAACAAGCAGCCGTGGGTGGTGAGCACACCAGCAGGCATCAGAAGCATCATCGATTTGAAGTTAGATTGAAAAGCTGCAGTGATACAAACAGGATGGTACTGTCCCAGAAAACACTGAATCAGTGGATGGAAGAGAGGATGCCGAAACAGCCAAGCACATTCAGCTGTTTGATCTTTGACACAGAGGCCGAAAACCCTGGAAGGATGTCCTTTCAGGGCCCCAGTTGCACAGCAAAGAGTGCCATTAGTCAACCAAGAGGATCTTATCAAATTTAAAAGCTTCTGTACAGGGGCCGGGGAGATGGCTCAGTAGAATAAGCGCTTGCCTGGCAAGCGCAAGGGCCTCAGTTCGATCCACAGTTCTGCCAAAAAAAAAAAAAAAAAAAAAAATCTGGACAGCTAAGGAAACAACCAACAGAATGAAGAGGCAATCTGCAGAATAGGAAAACACTTTGGGAGCTATCCATCAGAGAACTAAGTCCTTAACTTATAAACCAGTTCTGCTCCCAGAGAACTTCCTAGTGCGTCTGATGCAGCACAGCTGTGGAAGGTCACAACTCGAATGTTCGTCAGATGGGGACTTACTGTATATAAAGCACGCCAGAAACTTGGCGCCTTTCAAGTAAAAGACCTGACTGGGCGAGGGCAACTGAAATGGACAGAATTACAAATGGTCGATAAATGCATGCTCAACACCGCTGGCCATTAGAGCAATACAAACGAAGACAACACTGAGGTTCCACTTTTCTCTAGGAGTGATCATCAACAAGAAAACAAAAATAACGCATGCTGGGTTGGGGGGACACGTCCTGCCTGGCAAGTGCAAGGTCCTGAGTTCAACACCCCGGACCCCCCCCCCCCCAAAAAAAAAAGTGCTGACAGGACTGTAGGGGCAAAAAGAAGCCTGCGACGTTGGTGGTGGACTCAACTGGTACAGCCACTGTGGACATCAGTGCGGAGAGTCCTCCAAACACTAAGACTGGGAATTCCACGGGACCCAGCCCTCCCCTTCCTGGCGGACCCCCGGGTTCAAGGCAAGGGCGCTCACCACGTGCATGACCGTGAGGGCGGCCGCCCGGTTCCTCACAGCTGAGTCTTGGAAGCAGCCTCAGCCAACGACAGACGAGCGGACGAGGAACGTGTGCGCGCCCACGGTGGAGCAGCGCCGTGCGCAGAGAGGCTCCACCCGAGGCTCCGACTGCGAAGGGAGGCGCGTGAGGCGGCGGCCGGAAGTGACGTAAGACGCCCAAGTTCGCGTGCCGCTCAGCTTCGCTTATGGGAAGCCAGAAACATAAGAGCAAAGGAGAGCAGGGAGTTGGGGCCTGCTCAGATGGGAAGGGGCGAGAGGAGGACAGAGACCAGGACGGCCTCGTGCGCGCACCCACTCCTCCAGGAGAGCAAGCGTTGTGTGCCGCGCACGTGGACCGTGAGGCGCGCCGGCTTTTGTTACCTGGTGACATGACAGCACCCTGCAGGAGTGCTCGGGGCATTTGTGCCGCTGAAGGTTAGTTGTGAAGTTTTTCAGCTAGCATTTTTCTTCTTAAAACTCAAACAGTAATACCACCGGTAGACTAGAAAAACCACACAGTACAAAAACTTAGATCTGGCATACTTCCTTCAAACGTTTGACCCCAGCCATCCGACCCAGGAAGTGATGCTGCCGCATTCTGGAGTGTCTCTGTATGCATAATCTGCTTTCCTTGAAGGGGGATGGAAGCTTTCTGCCCACTTTCCTCGATACTTGGCCGCCTAAAGGTTCACTTTGCAGTCGTTCCTTGCCTGTACCTGGCTTCCTGTTGTCGTGGCTGTGATACTTCCTTCCATGCAGATGTTAGAATTTAACCCAGGATGATGGGTATTTGTTTCCAGGTTCTTCCTATTTCCCAGGACACTGTAGGAATTTTAAAAACTCCGCAAAGGTGCCTCCATCTGTCAGTGGGACAGTTCTGCTCGTGGCAGTTTATATCCCATCACAGGCTGAACGACTGACGTGGGGCGCATACTACCGAGGTCCTTTGGGGCGTGGGTTGGCGCTTCCGTCACGCCGTGTGCAGCGTGTGCTCCTCCTTCCTCTGCCAGCACTGCATGTGGGTTGTGCAACATCAACCTTGGCTGATCCAAAGCGGGATGCTGCTTATTTTGCATATTAAAAAAGCCAACCTTTCCGCTGACGCCTGGCCTTCTTTTCCCTTTCCCAGGTAAACATGGATGATCGCTTTGGGCAGATCATGGTCGAGAACCTTTGGAGGCGACAGTGTCACCTGGCGGGAGTGGAGACCTGCAAGTCGCTGGAGTCTCAGGTCAGCGGCCAGGCGGCATCCACGGAGCCCTTGGCCACCCAGGGAGGGCGTTTGTCCCCATGGACGAGCCGGTTCCCGAATCCCTGCCGAGCGCCTGCGAAGTCGGACTTCGCCGTGTTGGTGTGCAAAACTAAAGTTTACGTCTCCTGAACCCCACTTCATTATGCAAGCTTTATTTTTAATGTAAAATCCCTTTCTTATTATGTAAAATGTTAAACTTAGACGGAGAAGGGATGGTAAGTACCCATAGCCTGGTGGCCAGCTTTCAGTTGTTTTGTAGATATCACTTCATGTGTCCTCGCCACAATGTTTTTGTCAGAATATGTCTGTGCAAACCCCGGACTACACGTGATTCCACATCGTATTTCCATCTCAGTCACTTCCAAGGCCTGTCTTCTGCGAGTGCGGTGATGTCATTGTCGCGTCTCACAGCAGACATGCGCTTCAGAGCATCAGATAGCTAATGCGTGTTCACTTCCCCGCGGGCTACTTGCCAAGCCTTAACTCCCTGCTTCTCTACGCCCTTCTTTAGAGAGAGCGGCTCCTGTTGAACGGGTGGGAAACAGCGTCAGCGGTGGACATGATGGAGTTGTACAGCAGGCTGCCCCGCGCCGAGGTGAACAGGTAGGGACCAGCTGGCCACTGGGAACTCACGGAGCGGGAAGCACGGAAAGAAACCTTCACCAGACTTACTTGGAAACAAATTAAACATTTGTAGCAGCGATAGTCACTCCTGAGCTGTTATCTGAGACAGAGAACAGATTATGTTAGAATAAAGAGTCACACCTGGAAAATTCCCAGGACCACCTCTCGGTGGAAATTTTGCATAATCCCTGTTTTGGAGAAGAGGAAAATGATATGGTCCAAGGATTTCTAAGAGGAAAAAAAAAGCCCTCAAATAGCGATTTTTTTTTTAAATTTTATTTATTTATTTATTTATTTATTTGTGTGTGTGTGTGTGTGTCTGTGTGTGTGTGGCCAGCTCAGCCCACCAGGGGGAGGGGCTGTCTGGCATGTGGTGCTGGGGGATTGAACCGCGGTCCCTGTGCTTTGCTAAGCTTGTTCTAAGTAGGTGCTTTAGTCCACTGAGCCATCTCACCAGCCCCTCAGCATTTTAAATGGACTTTCTCAACATCATAAAGTAAATAAACATCAGTGTTCTGAAACACAAATCCACACGGTGCGCAGGCGTGAAGCAAGAAGCAGCCTGCACTCGCATGGTGCAGCCCGCGCTTGTCAACTGAGCGGGTCGCACTCCCTCTCTGCGTACAGACAGACGAATGTGGATGTGTAGGTGGTGTTTTCTGAACCGCTGGCTTCACACTGCTGGTCGCGAAGTCACCCTGTCTTTGTAAAACTTACACGTAGGACTAATCCATTTTAGTGTATCAAAATGCTGAGGTTACCCTATCCTGCGTGTAGGCCCATGGTACTTGTGTGACTCCGCAGAGAGAGTAGATCCATAGTCCCAGTTTTAAAGAAGTTAAAAAATGGCTGTAGCTGGACGCTGGCAGTGGTATCCTTTATTTCCGTTTTCCTGTTGCCGCAGGAGAGAACCGCGCTTCCTGGGCGTCTGTCGGCGCCCACCTGAGCTCTCTGCAGACTCTGCTTCCTGACTTGCGCTCTGTCCTTTGGAGACCTTGACACCATGAGAAAACATTTTTTGTCTTGCTGTCCCATAGAACTTACTAGTGCTTGGAAGTATCACAGTGTTTTCTACGTATCTAAGTGTAACTAGTGACAAAAACCATTAGCATTTGAGAGAGGGAAGTCTTCCAGTAATCAGGTTAGTGCTTCCTGGATTCTTCTGGAAGCACCCTTTGGTGCCAGAAATCCAACTCACAGCCTCACAATTGCCGGGCAGGCACTGTGCCGCTGAGCTATATCCCCAGCCCTGGAAGCACCCTGTCTGCTAGGCTGGTCAAAACTATTTTGAGGGCCAGCCAAATTGCTCTGCGGATTAAAGCGCCTGCTTAGGCAGATGCAGGGGCTGGGAGTTAGATCCCCGGGCCTGCCATGCTGGCCCTGCCTCCAGGGCTTGCTGAGACGCATGGTGGCCTGTGATCCCAGCACTTGGAGGCTGAAAACAGGAGGATCATTGAGTCTGATCTACGCAGTGAGACCCTGTAGACCCTGTCCTAAATACAGAAAAACTATTTTGCATACCCCTGGCATGGCACCTAAAGTGGGCATGCTGTAGAACCTTTTCCAGCTCCCCGGGGAGGGTTCTGCAGTTAGCACAAGCCAGACAGATTTGTTTCCGGCACATTGGTCTCCTGTGACCCTGGTCCTCCGAGGACAGCACCGAGCAGCCCAGTGGGAGCCAGTAGGGAGGCGGTGTGGGCTCTGCTCTGTCTCTGGGCTGAACAGCCTGCATCTTCATGACTGTTACAGCGTGAGCCTGCACCTGCTGGGTACGTGGAGGACAAGGAAGAGGCCAAGGCCAGCAGGTTCATTTACAGACGCTGAGCATCTGCTGTGTGCATGCGGGACGCATTTTCTGAGCAGAACCCAGAATAGACTAGAAAATATGAGATATGTTCAGTATACACAGTGAATGTGTAAGTTAAAAAGTGTATTGCAGTAAACAGCACCCTGCCATTAACCCTCTCAAAATACTCTCCTGCACTTTAAACACTCGCATTCATTGTTGGTGCTGCCACCTTCTGAAGTCGTTCTGGAAGTTTTTTCTGTGAGTGGAGTGATCGAAGTGCAGGGAACACTGCTGCCTCGTGCTGTTGTCCAGCACGACGGCAGGCTCGGTAAAAGCATGACACCACGTCTTCATCCGCCATGTCCCCTGGCTCCGGCTCTGCGCGACTTCTGGCTTTCTCCCAGAGTCAGAGTGACCTGCAAGGTGCACGTCTGGAATTGACTCAGGCGCACGAGGCCGCACAAGAGTGCAACCAGTCTTGGGACTCGTGAAAGAGGCGCTCCAGAGCTGCTTCAGAAGGGGGCAAGGATGGGGGCAAGGGCATTGGGTGCGAGAGGAGGTGTTTCAGTGGAGCTCAATGGCAACGTGTCTTCCTGGAGTATATTTGGTTTTAGTTTTGGTACAGGGTCTCACTACATAGCTCAGGCTATCACATATAATACTGGTCAAAAAAAAAAATTAACCATTAACTGTACCTTCCAATAGACCGTTAAAACTCAACAGTACAATTACCCAGACTATCTTGTGGCTACTATGCACACATTTCTTTTTCCCGTTCTTCTTTCTTTTCTCCTTTCCCTCACGCCAGTTGTTCCTTCCCTTTAGCAGTTTCTTTCCCTTTCATGGTATCTATTGTGCCGCTCCAATTTTATTTACTCTTCCAGGTTCTGGCACCAGGGCGACAGTAAGATGTGTACACATGCGGGCTGACTTACTTCACTTATCAGTTGCTCTCTAGTTGCATCCATTAACCTATAAAAGCCTTAAGTTTATCTTTTGTATAGCTGAGTAAATACTCCACTGTATAAAAATGCCACCTTTTTTATCCATTCCTCAGTGGATGGGCAGCAAGTATATTTTTCTGGTTTGTCTTATGACTCATGGAGGGCGTTGCTACAGATTGAGCCCAGGGCCTCATGCGTGTTAGGCGTGCACTCCAGCACTGTGCTGCGGTTAACGCCAAGCTCTTCCTTGCTGGTGTGGTATGTCACGGGATCGAACTCAGGACCTTGTGCTTGCCAGGCAGGCGCTTACGCCACTGAACAGTCCCTGGCAAGCTTATGTTTAGTTGTGATGAGATTAAAGTGGGACCGCACCAGACACACACCTCTTAACACACTGCGCACGCCACATCAGAGGCTGCGGCCGCCGCCTGCCACTGTGGTGCTTCCTCGTGTGATGCTGTCTTTTACTCTCCGCACAGAATAGAATCCCTCGAATTCCTGGATGAGATGGAGCTTCTGGAGCAGCTCATGCGTCACTACTGCCTGTGCTGGGCGACCCGAGGGGGACAGGAACTCGGTAGGTGGTGGTTCCTTGTTGCCGTGACCTGGAAACGGGGGCTGTTCTCCTCCCGAGAGCCACGCTGCCTCAGAGGACCGGGCGGCACACACTTCTCTGCGCACGTCCAGAGAATTTTCAGTTGCGTTTTGTTTTTATGGCGCAGAAATCGGATTATTGAAGTAAGCTGCCAGTACAAGAAGCAGCAAAGTGGGGCGGCGAGGCAGCTCAGCAGAGCGAGGCGCCGCTTAGGCAAGTGAGTGCAGCACTGCAGTTCCATTCCTAGCACCACATGCCACTGTGCCGGAGCGGGCTGAGCCAGCTAGAGTGTGGGCGCAGTGGCGCTTGCCTGCAACCCCAGCCTGGGCAGGCTGGAAACAGAGGGAGCGCCACGAGTCTCGGCTGCGTAGTAAGACCCTGTAACAATCGAATACATTTTTTAAAAAATCAACCTTTGACAAGTTGGCGGTGGAATTTCTACAGTTTAAAGGTTAAAGCCCTTGAGGGCTTCTGGTAATAACCTTAATAAAAGCACACAGCGTTTGTCTCCTTCAGTAGCTCATAATCATGTTTATGACTTGTTAAGTACACAGATCGTTACATTTCTGTAACAGCCATGCAGCTGGGGGTGAATTCCACCCTCTTATCTCTAAGGGACAGTTCCCTGGCGGTGGCAGAGTAAGCCCTGTGGAGCTAGCACGCATCTGTCTCAGCGTCTTGTTATCTTTAGTAATCCCAGAACTGTGGCAGTGATCAGCTTTCATGCCGCCCCAGCTTTGTACCTGCCCCAGGCGAGTCTGGCTTCCCTGCCGGTTGTCCGTGGACACCTCCCAGCCCGGTGGAGATGGTGTCAGGCCCAAGCTTCCTGCGGGGATGGCTGACCCTAATGACTTAGGACCTCACATAAGGAGCTGGTAGAAAGCACAGACCTGGGCAGCGGCAGGGACGTCTCCAGGGCGAGAGTCCAGGCTGCCATGAGGTAGCCTGGTGACCCCTCTGATCCAGCCTTTCATTCTCCTTGTTCGTACACTTACCCAGCTGCGGAGCTCAGCGCTTGGAGTCCTTCCAGTTTGTTTCTGATTTAAAATCATTTATTGGGGTGTTTTTACATAAACTGTTACACCTCCCACTTATAAAACAATATAATTTTTAGTAAAGAACTTGGAAACTTCTAAAAGTATGGGGGGAAAATAAAATTTATGTGGCTACCTATTATTCAAAGATAAACTCTAGGTAACTTTTCTTTCTCCTCTTTCTCTAGCTGTTTTATTTTTAATAGTTGGATTTAGATGTTTATGTAACTTCCATTCCTGATTTATTGCCCTTAATTAATATTGTAACATAAGCATTTCCTCCTTGCTTTAGAAACTCAGTGAATGTGTTTTGTGACTATTAAGCTGGACCATGTGACTCAGGCTGACTTGACTTAGCTCTGCCATGCTTTCCACAGGATGGCGTGCGGACCATGTTTTTCCTTTTTGTGGTCCTGGGTGCTGAAGCCAGGGCCTTTGCTTTAAGCCATATTCCTGGCCCTTTTAAAAGTATTTTGATTTTGAGGGTCAGCCAAGTAGCTCAGCGGATTAAAGCGCCTGCAAGCAGGCGCAGGGGCCAGGGGTTCATTCCCAGGGCTGCCCTGCTGGCCTGCCCCCAGGGCACGCCGAGACTGCTATTGAGGCTGGGCGAGGTGGTGCCTGCTTACAATTCCAGATCTTGGGAAGCTATAAACAGGTGGATCACTATGAGTCCAATCTACTCAGTCAGACCCTGAACACCCTGGACACCCTTTCCTAAATACAGAAAATAATTTGATTTTTGAGACAGCTCTCCCCAGGCCACTGGGTGCCATGTAGTGCTGTGCCTGGCCACCGCAGATGTGTCATGCAGAGGCCACTGTGTTGCCGGCTGCCGGGCTGCCGGGCTGCTGGGCACGGCCCGTGTTCATCTCTGGGCAGTGCAGGAGCTTCATTGCATGTGCTCAAAGGTCAGCAGTTCAATGGCAGATTTTGGATGTTTACAATGCAGAGCCCATAAATTGTTATTGTGCTTTCTCAGTCCGTTTTATACCACTCATAAACAGAAGCCTCCTGCCCAGCGCCCTGGCGTGGACGCAGCCTCACTTCACGGAGCCCGAGCAGCGCGCCTCGGCCCACTCTGCTGCACTTTGAGGGCCTCTGAACAGCCTCTGTGTTTGCTTCCCAGGTCTCAAGGAGATAACGTGCTGATCCGTGGCGGCTCCTCCTGAGCTGGGAGCGGCGGGCTCTGGCCTGCCAGGGACACTGCAGGGCTTCTGGGGAGATGGCCTGCCATGCCCGCCGGCCTCTTCCCGCACTCAGAGACGCCTGTCGCAGAGGTGGCTGCACGTTCCTGTTCCTGTTGACTTGTGCTGTTTAAATAAATCTCTCTTGCCGCCTGCCATGTGTGGAGCCTCTGCTCATCATGTGGCCGTGCCAGGCCGCATGGCCAGGCCTTGCTTCTGTAATAGCTTGCGCCCACTTGCCTGGAGCCCTCCCCTGACCCCAGCCTGCTCCCTGTGAGTCAGATGCACCTTGTGATCTGAGATTCATTTTGGGATTTAATCTCCTGTGAGCTTTTTATGGTAGTACCTGACACGCCTCGACCTGGGCTGCCTCTGCCAGATGCGAGAGCTGTCCTCTGCTCTTGGTTCTGCCCTTGCTGGCTTAGCCAGCCTGGTTGCGTCCTTCCTCTTGGTTGTTGGCCCCTGAAAGCGGCCCTCGAGAAGGTCTGTGTCCTGATTCGCAGAACTTCCCGTGGCGAAGGGTGCTTTGCAGATGCGATCAGGTAGCAACTTGAAATGCGGTCACCTTGATTGTCCACGTGGCTTAAAGTGACCCCAGGACTCCGTGTGAGAAGGACGGCGAGGTCAGAACCAGAGGAGACAGTGTAGCGACAGACACAGCGACTGTGGATGCGTCTGCTTCGAAGATGGAAGCAGGTGCCAGAGGACACGGTACTTCAACCACTGGAAGAGGGAAGGGCGCGAGCAGTCTTCCTCAGAGGCTCTGGAAGGAGCCAGCCTGGCCAACACTTTGATTTTGCCTCAGTAAAGCTGATTTCATATTCCTGTGCTTAGGGCCATAAGAAAATAACTGCAAGTTTTTGTTTTATTTTTCAGATAGGGTTTCCTTCTGTAGCCCAGGCTGGCCTTGCGTTCACAGCAGTCCTCCTGCCTCAGCCTCCCGAGTGCTGGGATTGTAGACGTGTGTCGCCACTCCCAGCTCTGTGGTGTGTTAAGCTACTAAATTTGTGGTAGTTTGTTTCAGCAGTAGCAGAAAAGCGGTAAAGTCATGCTCCAGAGTGAAACCCACAATGCAGGGATGGGCCTGATCCTGAGCTGGGGCTGTCGCCGTGAACCCGAGTGTTCAGGGGAGGCCATGAGGAAGCCCTGGTGTGCTCCCAGAGTGGTCACAGCCCCGTCTTCCCTAGTCTGGATCTCCCAGTCAGCGTCCCTAGAGCAGGCTGCATCCCTGGGGCATGGCTCTGGGTGGGAATTGGTGCGTGCAGGCAGCTTGCAATAAAAGTGAATCACTGCGTGGGAGAGCCGCGTCCCTTACGCGTCCCTTTCGCACTCAGTTCCAGAAGGTCTGGGGCTAGTAGTGGCATGTCCTTTCTATATTGTTCACTAATCCATGTTTGTGAAGCCTTGGGACCACACCATTAGTGGGCAGTGAGTCAGTTTTGTGGACCAAGTCCATTAATTTTAAGATATGGAATAAACAGTAAAGGTGAGTATTGTTTTTGAGACTTCATTTTCATGTGCAGTATGTATACACAGGCATGATAATAATTGTCGTGGTTTGGGGTTTTTATAAGGGGAGCAATACAATCCAGGACATGTTTTATAAGGTTATTTTATAATCACCCGAAGAAGCACCTACAGAGAGTGCGGGGAGCCTGCCCACACACTACAGACCAAAGCTTCCGGCCGAGGCCCGGATCCTGATGCCCTGCGTGAGTCCCGCTGCAGCCCTAGAGCCCCAACAGGGCCTCCCACAAGTCCAGCTGAGGCCCGGAGCCCACGACAGTGTCTCACACAGGCCCGCTTCACGGCTCTGTGCTGGGAAGGCCCCAGGGTCGGGTGGAAGTGAGGAAGTCTGTGCCAGCGGGATGGAGGGCCCGTGCCAGCCGCTGAGGGGTCTGCCCTGGGGCCAGGAAGCAGCGCTCAAGGTAAGCCCCAGAGCGGCCCCAAAGTACCACAGCCGTCCTCAGCCACAGCGAGGTCCCGAGCTCCTCCAGAGGTGAGGACAGCTGGGTTCCCGTCAGGACGAGCTTCCCCAGGAGGCTGAGCAGCGCCCCATCTTCCCCTCCAGAGCCAGGAAGTGCTGTTCACGATGAGGACCAGGGCTCCGCCAAGGTGAACCACAGCCATTCTCAGCCACAAGGTCCTGAGCTCCTCCTCCCGGGAGAGAAGCCAGGTTCCCCAGAAAAGGCAGCATGCCGAGGTCCTCCAGCAGAACAGCCCGGGAGAGCTAGCAGCTTCTCCAAGCAGCTGCCTCACGGCCTCTCACCAGCTTCTCCAGTCCGGCCTCTTAGGCTGCCTGCAGCCGCCCTCCGGTGGGCCTCCCACACCCGTGACTGGGTGGAAGAGGGTGATTGCCAGCTAACCCTCCACTAGCATACTGTGAATGTTTAAAAATTGTATTACTGTAAAAGACTTCGGCCATGCATCCCACAAGATACTGCCTGCTTGGAAACACTTATGCCACTTTTCTTGCCACTTCATGAAGAAGCTCTGGAAGTCCCAGTTTCTTCATGAGATGTGATCAAAAATCCGGCGAATGCTGGTAGCAACGAAAGGGCAGGCTCGTAAAAACGTGGCCGCGTGTCCCAGTCCGCCTTGCTCACTGCGTCTGGCACTGTGTGACTTCTGGGTCTTCCCCAAAGTCAAAATGACCACGAGGGGGAAATAATTTGAGTCAGTTCAGAACATCCGGGCAGCCAGGACAGCACAATAAGAAAAAGGACTTCAGGAACTGCTTCAGCAAGCGGCAAGACCTGGGCTTCTTCCCAGTGAGGGAGTCACCTGAGGATTGGTGGCAGTGTGCTTTTCACCGTGATGCATGTTTTTTGGTGCAACCAGGGATTGAACTCGGGACCTTGCACTTGCCAGGCAAGCGCTTATTCCACCGAGCTATGTCCCCAGCCCCCACGCTGCATAGCTTGTGAGCAGAGATGTTTCACTTCCGTTCTGGCTCGGTCCATGAGCCAGGGCACTCTAGCAGGTTGACGACGCACAAGCCCAGAACCCCCTGCAGTGCGTTCCTGGTTGCCTTCTTCCCTTGTGTCTTATGTTGACCCTTTGTTCAAGGAAAATGATACTACCGTAGTGTTGACAATCGTGTTATAAAGTATCCCTCCGAACACCAGCACTTTTACTTTGTGAGGTGAGGCTCCTTGAAGGTAATGACTAAGAAACAAAACCAGCCAGTAGGGGCGCAAGGTGCACTGGGAGAAAATCCCAGAAGCAGAGTGTTTGCAAGTCTTGGAGTTGAGAAGCAGCTCGTATGGTGTGCGTGGATGGATGCCGGGCCTGGAGGAAAGTCTTGGGGGGGTCAGCCGCTCGCCTGGCTCTCTGCCAGGCCTCGCAGGCGTGGGCCATGCATTCCAGAGGGCACCCAACTTTACTTTTTTTAAAAAATAAGAGGGGGCTGGGGAGATAGCTCAGTGTATAATACACCTATCGAAATTTACCATTTCAAACACTGTGTGAGTGTAGTTCTGGGACATTAAGTCCGTTCTCGTTCTGTGGCCCTGGTCACCATCCACCGCTGGGCCTTTTTCGCCTTCCCAAACTGAAACTTTCTGCACTGAGCTGTTCCCCAGTTCCCCTTCCCGGCCCTGGATACGTTGTGCTCTCCATCTCATCTTGAAGATTTGAGGAGTTAGCGCCTACGGCTGGAATCGCACGCAGTCCTTTGCATCTGCCTGATTGCACTTAGCGAGGTGTCTCGGAGGTGCGCTCATGCGGCGCGCGTCAGAATCGTCTTCCTTTTAAAGACCGTCGTATGTCGTTGTGCGTATTGCTGGAGGCGCAGAGCGGAGAGAGACCACCTGGGCAGGCTTAGCATGAGCACCAGTGGCTGTGTATTCACCCGGGCAAGCAGAGAAAAGGGAATCGGGACAGAAAAGGGGTCAGAGCAGAGCAAGGAGGGAGCAGAAGGACTTAAAGGGGAGGGGCCTCAGCCTCAAGGAATGTGGGGGTGGGCAGTGGGGGCCAGCTCCTCCAAGTGGGTGATGCACATGCTAGTGTGAACACGCCTCTCCAGCCGGCAGCCTGGTGGGGACACGTCCTGTCCTTGCTTTCTCCCCCAGGAATCCTCTTGTGTTAGTTGGGAATGAGCTCACCCATTAAGCACGGTGTTCTCATCCTTGCGTTATTTTAAAGGGAGGGGAGCCTGGTGGTGCACGCCTGCAGTCATAGCTCTTGGGAGGCTGATGCAGGAGAACTGCTGTGAGTTTGAGGCCAGCCTGATCTACAAAGTGAGACCCTGACTAAAAAGAGCCTTAATATAAGAACCACTGTTGCCCACCCACTGAGGAGAGGGGTGCTGTTTCTCAGGGCTTTCTCAGGCTGGCACGTGGATGGCGAGGACACCTTAATTGGGAGAGAGTTCTTGGGAACAGGAAGGTATGGGGGAGTGGCTAGAACCACTGTTTGCTGCCTTGCCTGACTGGTGACAGCCTGAACTAGATGCTGTAGGAACTGTAGGAAAAACAGCAAACCCTAAAGAAGGGAGGAGAATAGAGACAAGAGGTCCAGCCCCAAATGTTGGACAGGCACTGTCTGATTTCTGAAGCCTTGTCAGCCTCTTTGCTGTCTGGAGCTATGCCCGACCAGTAGTTGGCACAGAAGCGACAATCTAGAAGATGCGTAGGCCACCGTCTTCAGCTGTGAGAAGAGCTAGACTCCCGTGATTTTCACGGGCTGCTGCGTCCAGCAGTCTGATTCTGTAAAGAAGGTATGGAGTCCGGGGCTGTTGGTAGCAGGTCTTTCTGCGGATCTGGGCTTGAATGGCGACAGGTGGGCTTCGGTTTCCTGGGGCCATGTCTGGCTGGGGGCTGAGGTATGTCGGTGTACAGGGACCCGGCCAGTTAGTGGCGGCGTAAGTACACGGATGTCCCACAAAAGAAAAAACACCTCAGCTGGGTAACAGAATTGGTTGTAGATGTTAAGGAAGCATGTGAATTTTTTGTTTTTATGTTCCCAGCCACACAGAGCACCTGGCAGGGCAGTGTTCATCAGGGGATGGAATTTGGCTCACAGGGTTTTTTTGTGTTTGTTTTTTTTGTACTTTAGGGAAGTGTCTACAGGGTGCTCAGGGTCTCATTACTAGATTGGACTCGTAGTGATCCTCCTGTTTACAGCCTCCCAAGAGCTGGGATTACAGGT